TTTTTTTTGTTATTATTTTATTTATTGGGCATTTACATGGCCACCCAATTCACATGTATTTACATTTACACATCTAACCTCTAACCTCTAGATGTTGTTTTCTTACATTTATAAACCTCAATTCTTTTATATGAAAGAAAAAAGAAAATACAATCATTTTAACTTCTAAAAATTAAAATACACTTGTTTAATGCATTGGCAGGTAGGGCTGTCAAAACTGCTCGTTGTTCGCGAACATCTCGTGTTCGGCTCGGGCGCTAAGTTAACCGAACACGAATAACACGAACAGATATTTGTTCGTTCGTGTTCGGCTCGTTCGAAATACTACTAATCAGTTATATATGTATATCTCTGACGAGTAGTCTTTTTTTAAAACTTTAATTGACTCAATACTACAAAGATTTATAATCAATTAAAAGTATTAATGAAGAAAATATAATAAAAATTATTAATTTAGATTCAAATGATCTTTTAAATCTTGCCCCATTTCTTAACATTTTATGGCTATGTGATTAATAACTACGTGATTAGGATTGTCAAAATGACTCGTTGTTCGTGAACGGCTTCTGTTCGGCTCACTAAGCAAACGAGCTGAACACGAACGTACTCTCTGAACTCGAAATATAAACGAGCCGAACACGAGCGAGCTTGAATAGTAAGTATGTAAGTTTATGCATTGGAAATATAAATATATAGGATTTGAATAGTGCGCATGTAAATCTCCCATTTTTAATTCATATTCAAATCTTTTAATATGATATATTTGTGAGTTATTGTTAGTTAAGAATATGTATTTAGAATATCACAACCACATAAATCTTAGATATATTTACATGTCTACCCCCATAAGCTTTTATACTTACATCCATATCACTCATATCTTATTAAAAGCACCACATGATTGATTTTCAATTGTTAGATATGTAAATACATAAAAAATTTGTGCCTTTTATGTAAATTTCAATACGGACTTTTGCTTGGAAGCTGCCCTCAATGTTCAAAGTCAATGTTTAGTCAGTTCAAACCAAAGCTATCATGCACTTTCATTAAGAGGCATGTATGTATATTTACATACATACCCCCCAATTCTTATGTATTATATTACATTAAATCCTTACTTTTGTTTTTTACATTTATGCCATCAATTCTTCCATATCACATGAAAGATACCATCATATTTAGGGGATAGAAATGTAAATACATGAGAATTGGGGGGCATGTATGTCACATGTAATATCTAGTTAGTCCCTGGCCTAAATATTTATACAAGTTAAGTACGCGCATGCAACCAGTCTATACAATTTATATCATTCATATGTTTATTTCATTCAATCAATATCTAGTTAGTCCCTGGCCTTTGAAAATTTATGAATACGAACAATCACGATATTTCATATATTCAATGTGTTTTATTAAACCAATAACATGTCTATATCACTTTATATCTGTACAACTGTCACAGGAGAACCATCTAAATTATCTCATTTAAGACACTTCAATATCAATATCATTTATTTCATTTACGTGCACAAGTACCTTATTGTCTCTCAACTATACTATAAAGAGGTGATATCCACCATAGTTAAGCACGCACATGCAACCAGTCTAAACAATTTATATCATTCATATGTTTATTTCATTCAATTCAATATATTATGCATGCATTTACATTATCATAATAGCATCATTTTTAAAATATATATTCATCACAATGATATGACTTGGGTTGTAATTGAGCCGAGTCAGGCAGAGTATATCATAGTTTGGATTTGTCTTGGTTTAATTATAAGTTGTTCATGCTCGACTTGAGCTTATGTCGAGCTTTTATACATTGTTCAAGCTTGGCTTATTTAAATTTTTTAATGTTTAAACATCATTTCTACTTGATTTGCTCTTTACTTGGGAACAAGTATTTAAACGAGCTAATTAATAAGAAAGAAATTTCAACCAGTAGCAAGATTTTTACCTTAAAAAATGTAATGAATAATTTTACAAATCTGATCGTAACTACTAATTTATCCATTATAAACTCTAAAATCTTTGAACTTTACTAATTATTTATATCATTCTTAATGATATGACCGTACCAGTCCAAATTTTGTAATGGAAAGAATTAGATTAAGCCTAATACGTATAAGGATGATAGTTCACTTAATCATATTATCAATAAAAAAAATAATAATAAAACAATCAATATTAATGTTGTTGGTAATTGCAGTGTGATGATCATATAAAATGAACTTTTTTACAGTCTACCAACAACCAAAGATGACCACTTTAAACCCTGCATTATCTTAAATCCGAGTTCCTCTCCATTTTGCCGTAAACTCCTCACTTAGGGGTTGTTTAATGGAAGGATTTGTGTAGCATTTAAGAATGGTTTAACCTAAATCCTATTAAATTTCTCATTTAGGGTTGTTTGGTGGCAGGAATTGAACAACATTAATCATGATTTAACCTAAATCCTACCGATTAACAAAAATGATAGAATCAATCCCTAAAGGATCATAAATTCTTTTTTTCCTCTATTAACAAAAATGATTTAAATAAGGTGAAGCGCGGAAGTGTGGTGCGAGGAAGGATGAGAAATATGAGAGTTAATCGAGCGGGACTTAGAAGAAGAGTGGATAGGGAAGATATATCAGATCCTAGAGTTTCAGAGATTCTTGCAAGTCATGATATCAATGTTATGTTCACTGCTTGCACGCTGTAGATACTCAAGGTTCAGGTCTGAGAGTGGCAAAATCAATAGATGCCAGAGTAAAAGTAAGGTTTCCGAATTTGCAATGGTTTAAAAGTTAACTTCAAGGGGTCGCATTTCATACATACCACATTAAGTCTTGTATTTTTACATATAACGATATAACTTGGGTTGTAATTAAGCCGAGTCAAGCAGAGTATATCATAGTTTGGATCTGTCTTGGTTTAATTATAAGTTGTTCATGTTCGACTTGAGCTTATGTCGAGCTTTTATACATTGTTCAAGCTTGGCTTATTTAAATTTTTTAATGTTTAAACATCATTTCTACTTGATTTGCTCTTTACTTGGGAACAAGTATTTAAACGAGCTAATTAATAAGAAAGAAATTTCAACCAGTAGCAAGATTTTTACCTAAACCAATAGCAAGATTTTTACTAAAAAAATTTAATAAATAATTTTATAATTCTGATCACAACTACTAATTTATCCATTATAAACTCTAAAATCTTTGAACTTTACTAATTATTTATATCATTCTTAATGATATGACCGTACAAGTATTATATAACTGTACCAGTTCAAAGTTTGTAATGGAAAGAATTAAATTGAGCCTAATACGTTCACTTAATCATATTATCAATAAAAATAATAATAATAAAACAATAAATATCAATGTTGTTGGTAATTGCAGTGTGATGGTCATATAAAATGAACTTTTTTACAGTCTACCAACAACCAAAGATGACCACTTTAAACCCTGCATTATCTTAAATCCGAGTTCCTCTCCATTTTGCCGTAAACTCCTCACTTAGGGGTTGTTTAATGGAAGGATTTGTGTAGCATTTAAGAATGGTTTAACCTAAATCCTATTAAATTTCTCATTTAGGGTTGTTTGGTGGCAGGAATTGAACAACATTAATCATGATTTAACCTAAATCCTACCGATTAACAAAAATGATAGAATCAATCCCTAAAGGATCATAAATTCTTTTTTTCCTCTATTAACAAAAATGATTTAAATAAGGTGAAGCGCGGAAGTGTGGTGCGAGGAAGGATGAGAAATATGAGAGTTAATCGAGCGGGACTTAGAAGAAGAGTGGATAGGGAAGATATATCAGATCCTAGAGTTTCAGAGATTCTTGCAAGTCATGATATCAATGTTATGTTCACTGCTTGCACGCTGTAGATACTCAAGGTTCAGGTCTGAGAGTGGCAAAATCAATAGATGTCAGAGCAAAGGTAAGGTTTCCCAATTTACAATGGTTTAAAGGTTAACTTTAAGGGTTACATACCACATTAAGTCTTGTATTTTTACATATAACAGCTAAACTTTATAAAAATAAATTTATAATTAATAATTAATATAAAAATATTATTGATATAATAATATATTTCCATTAAATCTATAATTAAATAAATATTAGCTAATTATATTTTATTTAATTACAATATCATATACGATATGGTCATACGGGCTGTCTTCGAGCTTAATATCAAGTATTTAATAAGTTAATTGGCGAACAACAAATGGGTTCGTTCCTGAACATAATGAACAAGTTCGACTATATTCATCTTTAGTTGATTTAAGCTTCGAACTTTTAAAGCTTGTTTATTTATTAATTTGAACAAACATGATCGACTTAATCATATTATCAATAAAAATAATAATAATAAAACAATAAATATCAATGTTGTTGGTAATTGCAGTGTGATGGTCATATAAAATGAACTTTTTTACAGTCTACCAACAACCAAAGATGACCACTTTAAACCCTGCATTATCTTAAATCCGAGTTCCTCTCCATTTTGCCGTAAACTCCTCACTTAGGGGTTGTTTAATGGAAGGATTTGTGTAGCATTTAAGAATGGTTTAACCTAAATCCTATTAAATTTCTCATTTAGGGTTGTTTGGTGGCAGGAATTGAACAACATTAATCATGATTTAACCTAAATCCTACCGATTAACAAAAATGATAGAATCAATCCCTAAAGGATCATAAATTCTTTTTTTCCTCTATTAACAAAAATGATTTAAATAAGGTGAAGCGCGGAAGTGTGATGCGAGGAAGGATTAGAAATATGAGGGTTAATTGAGCGGGACTTAGAAGAAGAGTGGATATGGAAGATATATCAGATCCTAGAGTTTCAGAGATTCTTGCACGTCATGATATCAATGTTATGTTCACTGCTTGCACGCTGTAGATACTCAAGGTTCAGGTCTGAGAGTGGCAAAATCAATAGATGCCAGAGTAAAAGTAAGGTTTCCGAATTTGCAATGGTTTAAAAGTTAACTTCAAGGGGTCGCATTTCATACATACCACATTAAGTCTTGTATTTTTACATATAACAGCTAAACTTTATAAAAATAAATTTATAATTAATAATTAATATAAAAATATTATTGATATAATAATATATTTCCATTAAATCTATAATTAAATAAATATTAGCTAATTATATTTTATTTAATTACAATATCATATACGATATGGTCATACGGGCTGTCTTCGAGCTTAATATCAAGTATTTAATAAGTTAATTGGCGAACAACAAATGGGTTCGTTCCTGAACATAATGAACAAGTTCGACTATATTCATCTTTAGTTGATTTAAGCTTCGAACTTTTAAAGCTTGTTTATTTATTAATTTGAACAAACATGATCGAGCTATGATTTTACCACGATATGCTCCACAAATATCTCAAAGGATCATTTATCAAAGACAATGGTTTCAGATAGGAGCGGGACAAAATGAGGAGAAAAATATTAGTATTACTGGCCCTTGTACGTCGTGATCCAGTCGTTGCCTTCCCTTGAACTCTTGCGAATATAGTTTCCGGTGGGAGTGGGGCCGAAGGAAGAGAAAGATGAGAGTTTCAGAGTTCTTGTACGTCATGATCCCATCGCTGCCTTCCCTCTGAGGTCCACGAAAGAGGACGAGAGGATTCTGACATGGTTTCGGGTAGGAGCAGGGCAGAAAGAGGAGAAAGATGAGAGTTTTAGAAATCTTTGTACGCCGCAATCCCATCACTGCCATCCGGCCGGGAAGAAGAATTGGATGGAACACATCTAATACTAAAAATTGGGTGGTATGTTTTTGCTTATCGTCCGGTTCAGCCGATTCAACCGGGTTCATAACCGGTTCAGCTTTACGGCCACTTGGAGGTTTTATTTCAATCGACCAACTACGTGCTTCTTCCAGGGACTTCTGACTGGCTTACGGCCATCTACATCTCTGCCACGTGTCTTCTAGCTCATTCTATTCTGCCACGTCAATCATATTTTCTCACTCTAAAAACCTTATATAAATTCGCACAACTGGAGCTGATGGAAACAATTCACAGCAGATCCAAATAATGGCTTCAAGAATTCTCTCTCTCTCTCTCTCTCTCTCTCTCTATCTCTAGATTGCTTGAACATTTTTTTTTTACATTTTATTTTCATAATTAATTATTAGAAATTATTTATGATGAGAAGCTGCAATTTCTTTATGGTTAGATCTGCAATAAGATTTAAAATAATATATTTTTTTTAATTAGTGATAATTTTCTTATAATTATTAGATGTGGTTATAAAAAAAAATCATTTTTTATCAAAATAATTAAAAAATTAGGAATTATGATAGCTTTTTGAGAGCTCTAATCTTCTTAGCTTCTATATAATTAAATATTAATTATTTCTTCCTATGAATATTAGGGCTGTCAAATAGGCCCGTTGTTCGTGTTTGGCTCGTTAGCTAAGTTAACGATCCGAACACGAACGAATCCTGGCTCATGCGGTCAACTCGTGTTCAGCTCGTTTACACCCCTACTACAAACAGATAAA